GGAGGAGTGTCGCCCCCATTGTTTTCCTTCTGTCCGTTACTGGCCATCTATTCTTCTAAGTTCCCACAGACGGCGCCAAATTATGTGGGTGATTTTCTGACCACACTGCCCGCTTAGTAACTAGCTGGAGAGCACCGGCAGAATAGATGGCTTCAGCTAACCTGTAACAGAAAGAAAAGGCTCCGGCTGTGGCTCTTCCACCCGGGGGCACTCCGACGATCAAGTCAGTATATCTCTCAAAGATAAATCAAGTGCTAAACTCACAAGCTTGAGTATCAAAAGCATAAAATTACGTACCTTAGATCCACGGGGGTGCCTCTCTTTTATAATTACCTCAATCCTAATCTCAATAGAAGCCTTCCTGTTCAGTACTTACTTTGGACTCCTTCAGAGATAAAGATAAACTCCCTAAGAGCTTTATCCTTATCTTGGCTAAGTCTCATCTTTATCCTAGGACTCTGGTCCCTTATCCGCTTATCTCGGATTCCGATATCTTCGGAGATAACCTCGGCATCTTGACCAGGACACGTGGCATCTTGGCTTACACGTCGGCGTCACCTTGCCACATGCTGGTACTCAGAAAATATATCCCCACACCTGTCCATGATGAAAATAATATCACCACACTGAGATATACAAAATCCATTGAATACTGCAACACAAAATTAGATATAAAAAAAAATTGTAATTAAGCTATGTATAAATAAATAAACAACAATGATACATATTCACCCAAAAAAAAAAAAAAAACACACTTACATAGATCTCTAATGCTATTTGCATTGGGTTTTTCTTTATGGATTTAAAATGGATTGCTGTAGTGCAAACTTATGCCCCAAAGGACCTAAAAATTGAGCTAACAAATTAGGATCCTTTTAAAAATAAAGAAATAAAATAAAAGAATGTTTTTTGTGAGACATAAAGATAGTAAGTTCACATTAATAAAAACACTTCCATTTATTAAAGTTTTTTTAAAAAAATTTTTAAAAAAAATCTTAGATAGTGTTTGGTAGGTTCCTAAACGTGTGATTGTTTTTGAAAAATCTAATCAACTAGGCTTTCTAATCCCAATGGGACAAGGTTTCAATGTACTTACATAAAAGTCCTAGTTAGGGTTAACAATCTGTACAGATATTGCATTCTACAATACATAAATCGCGCTTAGCTCAGGCTTTACACCTTTCTCTATTCTTCTTCTACTTTTCCTCGTCAATCTACTATTTTTCTTTCATGGTCTCCAAAATTTCGCTCGCCTTTCTTCTTCTTGTTTTTCTTTTAATCCTTTCACAACCCACTATTTCAATAGCTGAGCAAACAAACCATCATGATCATGGGTTAAATGTTGGGATGATCTCAAGTGCCCTATCCAACAAGGGTTACTTAGCCATGTCCTTAATTCACGAACAAACCCACCCTACATTGATACCTTTCGAAGTAACCCACAATACTACAATCACCATATTCTGCCCACTTGATAAGGCTTTCTTGTCTTCCAAGTACCCTCAGCCACCATTCACTCTCCTGCAGTACCATGTTGCACCGTTAAAGCTTGATACGAAGGCTCTTCAGTTGTCTCTTCCATACGAATCCAAGGTCGATACTCTCCTTTCCCATCACCCACTTGTGGTTACTACAACACGCCATCATAGTGATTGCACTTCCATTAATGGAGTCAAGGTCACAGATTGGGATATCTACAACGATGGACATGTGATCGTTCATGGGGTAGAGGACTTCATTGATCCTGCATTCCAGACCCTTCTATATCCATGGTACGACGGTGGGGTCACAAAGAATGAGAATAAGAATGAGAGCAAAACTGGAAAGGATTCAAATACAGAGTTGAGCAAGCTTTCTTGGTTGAAAGAGATGATGATGGAGCAGAGGTTTTCCTCATGGCAACAAGTCTTGTCTTTGCTGGATCATGTCTTTCTCTTGCTTGCCTCCGTCGCTGGAATCGTCAATATGGTGGATATGTTTACAGTAAGCCAGATGATGGTGTTTTGGTTTGAGGAAAAGAATTGATATTTGTTGGAGCTTCATAGAATCATAGTCTTGTGCAATTTTTCATAAATTTTTATGAATGTTTTTATTTGTTAGACTATTGTTTCATTCAGATTCAAAACTATAAGAGAATATAACGCTGTAATTGAGATATTACTAAGCTTTTATAAATTATGACAATTCCAGTCACACATGTGAATATTTATCTCATTCTAATTGTAGTAATATAATTTGAAGAAGAATTTAAATTTAAAATTTTATTTTATAATTTAATAAAGGATGCAAAATTTAAGGAGTGAATATCGATCTCATTCCAATTATAGTAACATAATTTAAGTAAGAATCCAAATTTGAAATATTATTTTAAGAATATAAAATTAATTTATAGATCAATCATATTGTAACACGTATTAACAAAAAATTAAACAAAATAAAAAAAATGAGAAAAAAGAATTAAAACTTTCAACCTTAATGAAATGACAATATTTTGAAATTATAATAGTATATAGATATATAGATAAATAATAGAATAGATCATTATTTAAAACTCATATATTATGGAATAAATCATCATAACTTTAAATTTACATTAATGAAACGCTTTCCATATTTTGTGCCCTTCAAATTTGAATTTTGAAATGGATTAGTATAATTTCTATTTTTTATATTTGATATACTTTCCATTTGAAAGTCATAAATCTAGAGAGATTTTTTTTATTCTATTTTTTTGCTTGAATGAGAGCTATAGAGGATTTTTTCTAATATTATTTAAAATTTAAAAATTAAAAATTTTTGTTTGAAATTTGGAGGCTCCCACAAGTTTTATGGTTAGAACCTAGCTTTTTACTTTATAATATATAGATATAGAAAAAGATAGATAGATAGATTTAATAACAATTTATATATTAGATATTTTTTAAATATACAAATTATTTTTTTTAGATTTTTTATAAAAATAATTTAACAATCCTATGACTAACCATAGTGTATGAGAGAAGTTAAAAATTGTGTAACAGTAGGTATAAGAGAAGTAAAAAAGGTTTGTAAGTTAGGAGAAATCAATAAATGCTGATGTTTTAAGATTGAGCTATTGAAACTCATACAAGGCTGGGTTAGAAATTCCGTTTTCTTTATATTATATATAAAATGTTGATAAATAAAGAAGAAAAAGTAATGCATTAGGGGTGTAAATTTGGCCCGGCCCGGTCTGGTCCATGTTAGGCCTCGCAAGCTCTTGCCAAAATTCGGGTCGGCCCACGGGCCAGAAAATTAGGCCTAGTCCCAAGAGATATTTGGGCCTTGAACAGGCTGATGGGCCTGGGCTTGGGCTTGGGCTTGGGCTTGGGACAGGCATGAACAATTTTTTTTTTTGTTTTTTTATTTTTTCTACCAAAATTTTATTATTTTCTACTAAAAAAGATACTAGGCATTTGGGCGGGTCGGGCCTCGGACCGAGCCTTGAGTGGGTTTTAAACGGGCCAATGGGCCGGGCCAAGCAGGCTGAACCCACAAACCGAGCTTCAAAATGATGGCCCAGGCCCAGGCCCAGAGTCTTAGACTAGGCGTGGGCTCGGCGTCACAGTTGGGACCCAATTTTCCGTCAGCCGAATTCCTAGCTGTTGGAAGTATTTTCTTCAGGACCAATTCTCCTGGTGCATAGCGGAGTAGCTGAACTCGCTGATTATACGACTTAGCAAGTTGCTGCTGGTACCATGTCACGGATGCTAGGGCACGATCTCTTCATTCTTCAATCAGAGTCAAATCCAGAGCCAACATCATGTCATTCCGGCCCATATCAAAAACTTTTGATTTCAAGGTTGGGAGTCTGATCTCCAGGGGGATGATTGCCTGGGTTCCGAAGCATAAAACGAATGGCGTTTCCCAGTGGATCGCCTCGGAGTAGTGCGATGAGCCCACAACACACTCGACAGTTCTTCGACCCATCTGCCTTTCGCTTTCTGCAACCTTTTTTTGATGCCGTCCAAAATGGTTTTGTTGGAGGCTTCAGTTTGACCATTGCTCTATGGATAGGCCGGGGTGGTGAACTAAGGCCGAATACCATACTTACTGCACAATTCTCGATAGACACCCCAATCAAACTGGGTGCTGTTGTTGGAAATAAGTGCTCTTGAAATGTCGAATTATGTTATGATATTTCTCCATACAAAGCGCTTGATATCGGCATCTCGAATGTGCGTTAATGCCTCCGCTTCGACCCATTTCGTGAAGTAATCTGTGGCGACGATCAAGTATCGCTTGTTCCCTGGGGCCCTCAGCAATGGTCCTACGATATCAAGCCCCCACTGGGTAAACAGCCAGGGACTGGTGACAGAGCTTAACTCTTTAGCAGGCAGATAGGTTAACAAGGAGAACTTCTGGCACTGCTCATATTTTTTCACATAGCATTCGGCATCGGATCTCATTGTCGTCTAACAATACCCCTGTGTTATAGCTCGATGGGCCAGAGAGCGCCCGCCAGAATGTGCGCCACAACTGCCTTCATGTATTTCAGTCAGAAGCTCTTTGACTTTGTCCGGATGCACACATTCTAGGTATGGACCAGAAAGGGACTTTTTATAAAGCTTTCCTTGCGGATCCAAGTAGTAACGCAGGGCTTTGTTTTGCAGCTTGTGCGCTTCTTTTTTGTCCTCTGGAAGCTGTTCGGAAGATAGGAATACGGAAATGGGATCCATCCAACTCGGTCCAGATTCTATGACACAGGGCCGACCCTGAGATTTGTGGGGCCTAAGGCGCCCTGTGAAAATGGGGCCCCTCGAATATTTTTTTTTTTTAATAAAAAATTTATGCATAAAATGATAAGTATCTACAAATTTTTTATTTAAGTATACTTGAACATATAATCATTAAAATTATAAACTAAAATTTACTTTCATATATTAAGATAGGAAGAAATCAGTATAGTGACTCCAAAACATTAAAAACTGGTTTTGTTGCTTTATAGTTTAGCAATATCCAGCTTACAATTAACCCAACGATCACTTAAATACTACTCTTCTTGCATTTTTAGTTGCAAAATCACTAATTAAGTTTGTATAATCTAATTTATCTACCAAATCCTTTTCAATAGACAATATAGCTAATCCATTCAATCTTTCTTGTGACATTGTTGATCGAAGGTAGGATTTGATCAATTTTAACTTTGAAAAACTTCTTTCTCCAGAGGCAACGGTAACTGGAATAGTCAATAATATTCTATACGCAATCCAGGCATTTGGAAAACAACCATCCATCAATTTCAAATAATTCATCACCTCAATTGGCCTATTGATTTCTTTTGGCAAAATTTCTTTGAAGATTTTCAACTTACAAAATAAATCTCTCTCATCAACATCCATAAGCCCATCATGTTTCAAAAAGTCTTCAAGATTAGCACAATAAGTCTTCACGCACTCATCATTAGTAGAATTTAACTTCTTCAAATCAAACAAAAATCCAAAAGTTTTATCATATATTTGAAATTGTTCAAATCTACTCTTAAGTGAAGAAAGAGCTTGATCTATTATATATATGAAATAATAACTCTAAAGGATTCTTCAGCTAATTGTGCAACCTCTTCACTAACATTCTTATCAAAATGTTTCTTTCTACGAATGACACGCCTTTCACGAAATGTAGGCTCAATCTCCATTTCAATTGCAACACTTTCAATGCGACTTTTCCAACGAGTTTGTGATAATGGCTTAAGTATGAGACCTTCCATATTGTCTTTGAAAATTTTCCACCTTTTTGTAGAAAATGAAAACAACACACATATGCGTTGTACCACTCTAAAGAAATAGATAGCTTTGAAACAAGAGGTAGCCATATCACAAAGGGCAAGATTAAGACTATGACACCCACATGGCGTGTAGAATGCTCTTGGATTTATTTCAAGTATTCTTTTTTGTACACCTTTGTGTCTTCCTTTCATGTTAGAGCCATTATCATATCCTTGCCCTCTTCTATCACCAATATCAAGCTGGAGTGTGTGCAATGCCTCTCTAAGTACATTAAAAAGTCCCAACCCCGATGTATCATCCACTTTCAAAAATTCTAAAAAGAATTCTTCTACCTTTATCGGACTAGTTGAAACATTTACACATCTTATCACAAGAGACATTGGTTCTTCATGACTAACATCTGGAGTACAATCAAGAATAATTGAAAAATATTTCGCTTCTTTGATTCTTGCCACAATCGTACTTTTGATCTCACTCGTTAACATCTATATCAATTCATTTTGGATTTTGTGGCCAAGATAATGGTAATGAATTTCACTCCTTTAAATGCGTTGAATGTGCTCTTGCATTACTGGATCAAATTTAGCAAGCATTTCAATTAAGCTTAAAAAGATTCCATTTCTTTCTTGATAAGTCTTCTCATTGTCTCCACGAAAAGCTAAATTATTTTTAGCAAGAGTGATCACAATAGCAATTATCCTTAGTAACACTTGTCTCCGGTGTTCCCTCTCTTTGTTGATTTGTTCTTGAATACTTCTATCAATTATTTCATTCTTCTTCAATCTACTTTCCAATTCAATCCATTTGCTCATGCAAATAAAGTGCTCATTACTAGTTTCATGACTTCTAAGCCTGTTGCCCATATTCTTCCAATCTTTCAATCCATCAGTAGCCAAATGAACATTGTTCCCATCTTGCTTAAACAACTTGCAACAAAAGCAAAACACTTTGTCTGAAGCATCTGAATATACTAGCCACTTTCTATCCTGCTTCTCTCCATTTTGTAACTGTCGCATGTAAAATGTAGAAGAAAAATGCCTATCTTTGTCATCTAGGGGAAAATTCACACCATTACCTCTTATAGGACCTCTTTCAACTAGTAAATCCCTTAAATTTTGATCAATCTTGTCCCAATTACTAGGGTCATAAATGTTTAGAGGTCCACATTCAACATTGACATCTTCACTTTCACTAGATTCTACATTTTCCAAATCTTCATTCTCATGTTCACTAGGTTGTTCAATCACCAAATCATCATTCTCATTATTACTCACGCAATGAGTAGGCTCTTCAATTACCAAATCTTCATCATCATTGTCATTTGAACCCAAAATATCTACTTGTTTCTTGGTACCAAAATATTTATCAAGTGCTCTCGATTGAGATTGAATTAATTGTTCTACTATCATCCTCTTCTTTCTCTTTTCATTTCCAGAACTATACTTCCTAGGAAACATGGCTATAATCACAAACACTTCAATCCACAAATGACAAACACTTCAAATCAATCCACAAATCACAAACACTTCAATCCACAAATCACAATCCACTGATCTGATAGCAAATAAATTATAAAAAAATAATTTAATGAAACAAAATTAGGACAAACAAATTATTCAATTAAAACTGATAAATACCTAGGTAAAAAAATTAAGGCAAATTTATTATTCCACTAATTGATAGAGAAAGAATATAAAAAAAAAAATTAGGACAACTTTATTTAATAAAATCTGATACTGAGAAGAGAGGACTTACATGAGAGAGAGTGTGCGTGAGATATAGTGAAAGAGGGAGAGTGAGTCTATGCTATGCTATGCTCTTCGTCTGCCTGCCTTCAAGTCTTTCATTTCATTTCATCACTTCACTTCATTTCGTCAAAGAGATATTGAAAACAAAAGCATTCACTCACCACACTAGTGCATTGGACATGTATGTATTGTATATTGTATTTGTATGTATGGTTTGGGTTGGGCCCAAACACATTTTGGGGCCCTTTAAATACATTTTCAGTTTTGGGGCCCTTTAAAGCCTCCAAAGCTGTTTTCAGTCCCACACCACACCAGATAAACTTTCGGTTGGGCCCAAACACATTTTTAGTTTTTGTTTATTTATATATATATTTTCATTTTAAAAAATATGGGCCAAACACATTTATAAATAAATATGGGCTAAATTATAGCTAAATTATATATGGGCGAATAAACATTTGGGGCCCTTTAAATTGATCTTAAAATAAAAAAAAAATAAAATAAAATTGGGCCTATAACAATTTTTCAAATTTGGGGCCTTATTTTTAGGCCAAAATTTGGGGCCTAAGGCACAAGCCTTACCTGCCTTATGGCAGGGCCGGCCCTGCATGTATGTATGTTTCTCAAAAAGTTTTGGGAGATTTTGACTCTCTAGCACACATTACAGTCCATGGACATAAACATCGGTATAACATTCAGGTAGACTGAAATTCGTGGTAGATTCTGCGAATCCAACAACACTTTTTAGAGTGTCCTGCCTCATAAGATACATTGCATGCCTCGTTGGTAAAACTCATCCACTATTTTCATTTGTAATGTTGATGAAAATTATTAAAGTTGAGATCTTCTTTAGATCGTTAGGAGAGACTCCTAAATCAGTTTATAGTATTAGATTGAGAATCGTAAGTGTACGGGGAGCAAATATTCAGGCAAGCCTGTACTCCTTTCTTCCAAGCTCCGCTCCTATCCGATCACCTGCGAGCAAATAACGATGAGCTACCCGGCGGTGTGTGGCCGGAAAACCCCTCTGACGATCAAGTTAGAACACACACACAGGGGATAGATAGAGAGAAGGGAGAGTGTTGAGTATTTAGTGTATGTCTCACCAAATGTTCATCTATCGCACATGGGGGGCGCAGATTTGCTTATATACCTTCTGCGCCCCAAATCTACTCTCATTCGTCTCTCGACACGTGGCGCTGCTATTCCATCTGTCAGCACAAATCTTGCTGGGCACCACTTAACCCAACTACCCTCCCATTCTCTTAGGAGCTCGGCAGCCGGTCAGTACCATCTCGGCCATCGTCTGCCATGCTGCGTTTCTTGCCCAAGTATTCCAACAGTTATGCTCAGATGGGGATCGGACTTGGCGGCATCTCGGCATAGCCGAGCTTAGGACAACTCACGCTTGTCCGCGGTCAACCAACCTGCCGAGCAAACAGGCACCCCGGCGTCATTACCACGGATCCTCGCAGCTTTGTTCAATCCACGCGCTGCCTTAACCGAGCAACTTTCTTCACGGCCGGGCCATACAGCTTGGCCCAACACCTGTCCGGCATAACTCTGTCCAGCCCAAATCTGTCTGACATAACTCTGTCCGGCCCAAATCTATCCGGCATAACTCTGCCCGGTCCAAATCTGTCCGGCTCAACCCTATATCATTAATCTCCCTCTCAGTAAGGTTATATTTTCAAAACAAAATTAAATGAAAAATGATCAATTATAATCATGCATGTTAAATAATTTTAAAATAATTAAATTTAATAGAATACATCTTTTATGATATAACATAAATTAATGAGTTTTTTTTATATACTAGGCATAAGTTAATCCTACCCCCACACTACATACATGAAAATAATAATGATTTTATTTTTCTTTCACTATACTAGTTTCTAATTTTTAAAATTCTTATTAAAAAATAGATAATCAAAATGAAATTAAACATAGCATAAGTATTCCTACTCCTCAATTATAAATATTCTTTTTTTTGGTAATATTGTTTAAAGGAAATTACTTCGGTACACCATTTAACTTTAGTCCGACAAACAACCCCATTTGGGATGATAGCTTTTTGGCTATTCACTAATTACTTTCTCTATTTTTCTATATGTGTTTTCGTAAAAAAATTTAAAAAATCAATTAAAATAATCACTTTCCAAACGAGTATGTTTGGGATTAACTTTTTTGTGTTAATTTTTCATTTTTATTTTTTTAATTTTTTTTTTTAAAAATTGTTTACATTCTTAGGTTCTACCCAACGAGACGGATCAAAAAATAAATAAAGAAATAAAGAAAAAAAAAATTATATTTTGACCTTTTAAAATCTTTTTAAGTTTTTAGATCCTTCTAACTAGACAAATTTGCAAAAGCAAAAAAGTAACCCAAAAAAAAAAAAAAATCACTAAAGATAAAATAAAAGATATATATATATATATAGGTTTTTTTAGCTAGACTCCAAACTCACCCTTACAACAAGCACAAAAAATGACTTGCACCAAACACATGACAAACTTAGAATTTTTTTTTTTATTATTATAACACTAATTTGAGATTTCACTTATTATCTTCCCTTCTTGTCAAAAATGTCTTCTTGACTGTTATTAATTTGAAGTGGTTGTGTAGCACCACTTTGTGATTGATCACATTTTACTCACTTTTTCATTTTTTCTTTTTAAATTTTTATTCAAATTTATGCTCAACCTAAATGAGATCTAAAAATCGGTAGGCATTTTAGAACAATTGAGATCTAAAGATTCGAATCATACAACACAATTTCATCAGAGATACAATATTGTACAATGTGTGTTTGTTTTTTTGGGAAATAATTGCACAGTGGGAAAAACTTATAACTGCACTCACTTTGCAGTTATATCCCTTTTGTTTTTCTTCAAAGTAAATTATAAATACATTTCTTAAGATTTAATTAAAATACGAATCGTTCTTTATAGTTTTGAAAATTATATTTCTTCTAATGTGATTTCTTATTTCATAACAAATTACTCATTTTATTAATAAATTATCAATTCAATTAACAGTTTTTAATGATGTTAGAAATTTATTTTCATTAATAATTAAGACATTTTTGTTATTATATAGGAGAGCAGTTAGGAATTTTATTTTTTTTAGTTAATTTTGTTAAATAACAAATTCTAACAAGGGAGTATTTATAATTTTTCAAATTACAGGAGATAATCAATATTTTAAATAAATCTGAAGAGATGTATTTATAATTTATTCTAAAAAATATTAAAAAAAAATGTATGACGGTAATATTACTCAAATATTTATGTACTTTGAAATTTACCCTAGTTTTTACATTTTCTTTGTATTCTCTAACTCTAAAGTTATTAATTATAAATTTTAACGACAATTTATAAAAATTGT